TCCATTATCATTACACAGATCATTGCATTTATAATAACTATGCCTGGGAGAACTCACGCATTAAAAAACATAAACTGAGAGTAGAGCGAGTGACATGAAGTCATCCCTAATTTTTTTTGTAGATGGATGGTAAATAAAGCTATTAGGACTAATAATGTTTGTTGTTACCGTTTCTCATAGTATCATGAAGTAAAAACATAAAAACAATAGATTAGATCAGAGGTCTCGAAACTTTTTGTCAGCGAGTCACATAGACATCTTGACTAAGTTCCACAGACTGCATTGAGACCTCACAGACTGCATTGAGACCTCACAGACTGCATTGAGACCTCTATCTAAGTCCTGAAGGAACTGACTTTTGATGAAAAAAAAATATCTTATTCTATAAATGATACTTCAGCTTTGAAATGAACTTTCTTAGAGAAAAAAATATATATATTATAAATGTTGTAGTAACCTCTCGTGTGAATAATTTGCTAAATTTCATATTTTTTAAATTTCACCACATCATCAAACAAACTTTTGTGGACCATAGTTTAGAGACCCTTGGATTAGAATAGATTGACGGCAATAACAAAATAATAATGGTAAGTTCTATTTCTACCAGATAGTTAAAGTGAAGTTTCATGACTTTTCCCTATTTAATGATTTTTCCTGACCTATAAGTTTGGGGACACAAACATTTAAAAGAAAATTTAGAGTTTAATATTGTTTCTTAAAAGTGTAATAAAGTATTCCACTCCTGATTAATGTTTTCTATATTAATGAACATTAAAAGAAACATAAGATTGGCAACGAGGATGGGATTGAAATACTGATAAGTGTTTGCATGTTATTTTGTTGATATAATTAACATTGTCAAAAAATTTTCCCTTTCTCGTCCTTTCCCAAATACGATTACTCGAAACCTGAGAGCTGGGTTGAACATCTGGAGAGATTTCAACTCTGGTTGGATGATGCTACATTTCGAGACCTTAAAGAGGATGGATTGCACCTTTGACACTGAGAGAAGTGGCTTACAGTGACTTAATAAAGATATTGAGTAACAATATCACCCATACATTACATTTAATCGTTATTTACACAAAGTTTGTCAACAGAAAGCAACTAATTACAGAGACAGGAGTCTCTTACATGGCTGAGCTAAAGAGAATGGCAACACCTCGATTTAGCTTCCAAAATAGTTTTATAATGGTTTGTTTGTAGATTGAATAATCTAGATTTACAGAAAAGCTTGTTTGAAGGACTTCACATGAACAAGTGCCTTAGATGCAGTGAAGTCGTAGGAGAGGTCAAAGTTGAACGCACAAGGAATTCATGGAATTTCTTCTTGGAACTGAACAAATCAAGGCAACAGTTCAATTAGAAAGGTTAAGTTTTTTCAATGTGGAGCGATAGACCACACTGTGAAAGAATGCTCTATTCCTGAGTACACTCTGAAATACAAAGAAATAATATCTCTTATACAACTTCCCAAAATCATGAGGATGAAAACCCAACCTCAACTAATTTCATTGTAGCCAATAAATTGGATCCTATATGTTTTGAATCGCATAATTGTATACCCAGACAACCAATTAAAGCGTTTGATACTGCTGAAAGTCAACTGCACTGGCCTGTTACCTCCTCAAATGTGCATCCAAGAATTTGAGATTGACTCAGGAGTTTCACAAACTCTCATGAGCCTGACATCATTTCAAAGGACCTTTTATGTTGTCAATGGGATTGTATATACAGACAATTTAATTTCTGTTGGATGTTAAATTTTACATGTTTATCCTTTTATATCTCAACATTTGTAAAGTGCAATGTTGCTTCTCTACTCAGGAGAGAGAGAGAGATTGTGGACTAATTACTGTTGTTAATTATTATTTCTTACATGTGTGATTTAATACTGTGGAGTTTAATATTGTTTCTAAAAAGTGTAATAAAGTATTCCACTCCTGATTAATATATTTTATTTTAATGAATCCCAGAAGACACATAGATTTTTTATAAAAAAATTGCGAATCTATTCGAGACAGGATGCAGAATGTGATAAATCTTTTAAATCCAAGAGATTAAACTATTCCCTGTTTTGAAAATTCCCTGATGCTTCCCAAGTTTCCAGATTGGTCGCAACCATAAAATTACCAGCACAAAACATCCAACCAAATGTATTCAAAAGAACAATTTAGGATACAAATGATGATAACCTTTGATAAAAATAGATGAGGATCAATCGGTAGAACATGATGATTCATAAAAAGTTGAAAAGGATTTGACCGTTGAAAGTCGGTGCTGGGATACGAGCCTACTCCAGTTATATAAACCGAAGGCATATTCGACCTAGTTACAAAAAATGGTATTTAATGTTTTTAAAAACACCACTAAACACACTTTTAATGTTGAATTTTCTCAGCAATATAACTTCCAAAGAGAAAGAGAGTGCTCAACTGCACCTACCTTCCTGGATAATGCTCCAGGAGTATGCCGGCATTAAAGTGTAAAGAAGCCACCTCACAACCAATAAGGCAAATATTTAAGAGAGTATTCACCCTCAGAATAAAATAGGGTGAAAGTACGAAACTGTTGCGGAACGAAAATGGGGCCCTATGGAAAGATTTTTACATCAAGAAAATGTACACTTTGATATGCTCAATAGTAAGTCAATATTGTGAGTAACCCAAAAATTGTATAGTTTAGATAAATTGTAACAAAAAAATAAATAAAAATAAACTTAGTTTTTCTTTGCCTCCTATAATCCCCCCCAAAATGCTAATTAATCAGTCATTATTTTAAAAATAGAATATGAATTCATTATTAAACATTATAATATTACATTTACAAAGTAGTTTATAACAATTTTAAGTTTATTAAATTTTAATAATTACAAAAGAATGAATAATAATAATAAAAGAGCACTATGAGGGGAGAAATAAATATACTTTAAATAATTGCTCTAGACACGTGCACTAAAAAGATAAGACGGTAGGCTTATCTTAATGGATATTTTAATTAATATAAGATGCTATTTCTATTTTAGGTACACTACTAAGATAAATTTATTTATTGCAGTCTACAAACACGATTAAAACAATAATTATTTATTCTTTAAAATTTAAAATAAAAATTATTATTTATGAGTAATGTTTATTATAAAAACAATAAAATACAAAACCAATATGCATTATATCTGAAATGGAGCAAGAATCACTGAATCCATAAAAAAATTATTTTTAGAGGAATAACTAACACACAAGACTACAATAATTGCAATATATATGAGTAGCTTCATATCAAATAACGACATCCTTCATTTTAAGAAAGTGGTGAAAATGTCAATTTTTGTTTTATATGTTCAACTCAAACTGTTTACGAGGATTTTATTTAAGAATGTTCAAATTGAATCGTGAAAAATAATTGCTAAATGATATTGGACCAATATATATATGTACTAAATATTTATAAAGAAATTTGGAAAAGAATAAATTTCGTCTTAATAAAGTATCAATATAGACAACAAAAATAAGAAATTTCTATGGAAAATATAAGTAGCTATTCATTAAAATATATAGACAAAAGAACAAAGTTATTAATTATGAAGCAAAAGAAAAACAAAAATAAAAAAAAATTAAATTTGAGGTATGAATTACATGGTAAAGGATTTGATAGTTATGAAAAAAAAATGAATTTTTAAAATTAAAATGTTTTTGCAATAACTTTTTTTTTTTATGATTAGAATTGGATTTCAGATTTTTGACTAATCTATCTATCCCGAAATGAATTTCAGACAAAAATTGTTTTACAATTAAAATCCAGTCTTTGTTCAACTTTCAATTTGTTATAATAAATAAATAAAAGCACGAAAAGGATTAATTTCATGGCTGAATGGAACGAGTAGTATTTCGAGAATGAGGTAGGTCAAACTTTTTGCCAGTTTAATCATGGAATGAATATTTTTCATGGAATTATTATTATGTTATCAGGCATTGTCATGGAATAAAATTAGCTTTTCGTATATTATTTCCTGCTTTATTAACTATGTAAAAAATAAATGCTACCTTTAATCACATTAATTAAAATTTATATTGTGCACCATATAAATAAAATACAATTTTATTTTTTTCTTTAATTTTTTGTTGCCAAAGACACATTTAACTGCCTTCCAACTTTGTTATTTTTTCATCACTTAAACCATCATTAACAGGTATTTAGGGAAGAAAAATGTTCTTGAGAGTTTTGTCAGATCATAGTAAAATTATGGCACACTTTGAAAAAAAAATTATAAAATAAAATTGTAGTATAATAGATAGAAAATCCGCAACACTTATCCAAAAAATTGTTTTTCAATTAATTAAATTATTTGTGATAAATATTAATAAGTTGATTAAATAATCATTAACAAAACAAAAAAATACGAATATTTAAACAGCATAATATCAACCTAATTCAGGATGATATAATCATCACAACTATGATTCATCATACACTAAGAACTTAAGATATAAATATATATTGACATTCTTAGTTAAAACGATTATCAATTCTTAAAATGAATTTATTTTTAAAGTAGGATCCATGAAAAATCTAACCACCATGAATATAGAGTGAAAGCAAAAGGAAAGTGAAAGAGAAAGTTGTAACACGATTATGTATGAAATTCAAAGTGAAGCATGAAGTAATTGTACCAAAAATTCAAAACTAAAACACAATCAAACAATAATTACAAACGAAAATGTACAATGTAAAAATAAATGTCCACAATATATGGGTCTTTTTATTCAATAAGAACTGAATATCTTACCACTTGGCTTAGAAACAATAAAATCACACAAAACTAATAATGATTGAAGACAAAAATAAAAAGTGATAATGATTTCCAAGAATCATTACAAGTTTATAATGTTATATATATATATATATATATTATTAACAGAGCTACTCATTATGAATGATTACAGAATCAAAAAATGGTAACCATAAATCATATCAAGTACTAATGAATAAATAATCATACAAATTATATAAGTGAGATAAATTAATTTAAAAGGAAATGTAAACAAAAGTTATACCTGGAGTTGATTTCTTTCCATTGGAGTAGAATGAGTTAGAGCCAATAGGCCTTTTCCATCCTCTCCAATTATTACATATAGATTCTGGCTCTGTACTCCAACTACATAAGGAATCTTCTTCAAATCTATCTGAATCTTCAAATGAGAATCTGTCTTGCTCATCATTCCATATTTCAAGCATATCAGAAGCCACTTGTGACATTCCAACAAGTTTGAAGAGGAACTACTATAAAATTGTTTGTTTTAAACTGCAGGTTATAGAGTAATAACAACAAACAAAACGGACTGCGGGGGAGATTTGGATCTCAGTTAAAAGGACTATGACCTTTCTCTCCCCCTAGTCAACATAAGACAAAGAAAACACTTTTTATGAGAATATGAGGAACCGCGCTTACGATAATAGTTTTAGTTCGAAGCTGAAAAGATACATTGCACGTCATTAATACGGATGAGATCACACATTTCAAATAAGAAGTTTTTTCCTGTCAAAAATCGACCTACTTCAACAGCAACAGACAAAACACACACTCACACAACAACAAATATGGCGGAACTGAAGGAGAGTGCATGATGGGAAGTAAACTGCACCTCCCCCTTACCCCTCTACGTCAATAGATTTTCCTTTAACCGCTAAAACATTGATTTAGAAAATTTTAAAAGATGTCATCTTGTTAGTGTGCAAAACTTAAAATATAAACTTTCAACTTTCAGTCAAACGTCATTCCTTTATCAATAACTCAATTACAATTTAACTTTTAAATTATAGTTTGCAACCTCCACATCCCTTGTTTTAAGTAAACACTATGCCTGTAGAAGAACATAAAGAATTACGTGAATTAGTTTCACATACTCTTCAAGCTAAAGGTGTTTTACAGAAAGTGCAAGTTAGTATCTCATTGTTTTGAGATTTTCATTGTGTCAATACTATTTGAAATTAACAGGAACCTTGCTTTTCAGGCTGAAATTCGTGCCAGTGTATTTTTGGCATTAGAAGAACAAGATGTTTTTAAGGTATTATATTGCTATAAAACTGCATGTTTGATTATTAAGACAAATTCTGAATTCTTTGATTTGTGTATTTTGAAGATACAATAAATATTTTGTACTTTGTAGACTCTTAATTGTGACTATGCTTGTTATCAATGCTTTAACTGATTAAATTGATAATATTTCTGTCATTTTCAGTATTTACTTACAAATAATCCTTTCTATTTGTAATACAATTTTAATATTATTCATCACCACTTTCACATTTTAAGAGCTATTGTATAACTGAATTTAATTTTTAGGATAAGAACCCATTCATAAATACACCTTTGAAGAATTACTTAGCCACTAATGAAGGATTACTAGCAGTTTCATTGATCAAAGAATTTTTAGATTTTTTCAATTTGGAGTTTACTTCTTTAGTTTTTGATCCAGAAACACATGCTGGTATAGATTATACCTACGAGGGTAGACAGAAAATCTCAAAGGATCTGAAGATTGATATTATTGGTATTGATTTTGATTATTAAAATGTTTTTGTCTAAATCATTGAATACTTTAATTAAAACATTATTAATAATACAGGATATAATTTTTTGTTATTTTGATAATAATTTCAAATCTGATGACTTCTTATTGTTCAATGTTACATGTTATTGTTCAATGTGTGATGAAATATTTTCTGTATAGTTCATCAAAAAATAACTCAACATTTTACTTGAGTGGCTTGAATCAATGGCAGCTTAAGTTTATTGTTTATTTTATTAGTAGAGATATGATAACAATTTGTAAAACATATCGAACATGAAGTAGTTTTTATTTTAGATTAGCTAAATGCATTGTTTAGATATCTGTTGATTTTTTATAATTAATTTATAGTTTTAACAGTTATATGAATTATTGATTGTAGTTAATTGTCTGTACTACTTATCAGTGGTGATAAGTGATTGTCATTTTTGATAATATTTGTTATAAAGGATTTCAATTCAATTATGTAGGCTATATTCATGACAAGAATGCATCGCTACAATTCCTTGGACTATGATGGCTTGTTGAGGCGTTGCCTGCTTTAATATTATCGAGTCTAGCGGTGCTGGTTGGAATCTGTCCCACCCTGGTTAAAATAGATTGTTACCTTTAGGATAATCACCATTTGCCACAAATACTCAAAAGAGCATGAACAAAAAAAATTACAAAAAATACATTATACTCTTGATCTCTTTAGAAAAGTTGGAAGAAAAAAAAATGAAAAAAATAACTTAATAGTTTTATGAGAAATTCAATCTCTACAAGTCAAAGACACAAGATACTATTTTTTGATCTCCTATTAATTTTTTAGGTTAGGTCCTAAATATTTATATCTACAACTTAAAGAAAGCCAACTTTATTATAAACATTATCACTGTTTGCCGTGGGTTAGAGTCTGCACCAGATTTATGGTTTAATGAGGCTAGTGTTGGTGTGATGTGGTCAATGAATGATTTGCCAGTTTATCTGCTGTATATCAAAACGTATTCATCACAGTTTTCAAATAATGGATGAAAAAAAAATGGAGAAAAGTTCCGAGAACCAAGGAACATATATATATATATATATATATATATATATATATATATATAATATATATAGAGGTAAAATAGGTCAATGTAACCAGAGAGAGTAGTTAGGGGCACAGCTAAAGCTGTTTACACCCCTTGCAAAGCTTCTGAAAAATACCACCATTATATCTATCTCCTGAGTACATAGCCTTATTTTTTAAATCCTCTCCCCTCCTAAATATCCTTAATAGAGCACAATTATTCAGAATAATCGTTATTAAGAAGTACATATTTTTAAAATATTTAAAAGAGATCGCATTGGTTATAGTTACATGTAATGTAACTATACTTACCTCTATAACTCATGTAAAATGTATTTGTGCTAACCTCTATAGTGATTCCTCATTTCTTGAAAGTTCGATTAACCAAGAATTTTACTTTTTATCTTATGTCTTTTACACATGACCATATCATTTCTTAATTCAACTTTAGTTTAACTTTTTGTTTTAATTACATTTTTTTAAAGTAATAAGTGGAAAAGATTCTGAGAACAGACCAGATCTATTTTATTTAATTTCAGATCTTGAAATTTCCAGTTATCAGTTGTTAAAAATGTTCTTATTATTTTCATGACTTTATGAAATAAAATTATTATTGAAGTAGAAAGTTAACCAAATAAATTATATTAGTATGTTTTTTTTTCAGATAGTAAAGTTCCACTTTTGGGATTAGTATTAAAAATTTTGACTTCGGTTTCTAAGAATTCAGATACTAGTCATCCTAGTAATTTAGTACAGAAAAAAGAAGTTACTAGCAATGCTGAGAAAACAGAAATAACTGATAACTTGATATCTAATGGAATAAACGGGAGTATAAATAGGAAAGTAAGCAACCCTGAAGAGAAAACTTCAAGTGTAGGAGCTAGAGAAGAAAAAGAAAATAGGTATGGATTTAATATAAGGTAGCTTGTAACCAAAATGTCTGCTTAGTCTGTTATTCTTAAGATTCATTTATATTGTTGTATGTAGTTACCAACTTAGATTTTCCAAAGAGTGGAGGAAATCACCACAACCTTATAGCCTTGTTTACATGAGTGATATTCATGCACTTGTTGTGGGTTCTTAATGTGCTACGATGCTAAGCAATCAGCAGAAATTTTGAATGGATGGTAAATAACCTGTGTGTGCTAACCTGCTAAAATGTTATTAGTTATAGTAAGGTTATACCTGTACTGTAAACAATTTTTTTGAGTTCTTAATTGATCTACTAACGTTTGTAAAATACTAAAGCGAAGTGAAAAGACTGAGTTGCTGAATTATTTGATTAAAAGCATGAATGAAGATTCAGAAGGCAAAGAACTTGATGAATACATAGATGGAATTCTAGCTGTCTATACATTCCATGTCTAGTTATTGAATTTAAACAAACTTTAGATACTACTGCAAATATATATATATATATATATAAATTAGATCATTCTTAATTATTTTTAGTTGGGTTTTATAATTTTTTTTATTAATTGTTTAAAGTGAGAGAGTAACTGATACTTTTTATTATGACTGTTTACTTACTTGGTGATTATTGTTTATGTATGTCTGAGGCTCCTTAGCCCACATTTCTATATTTTATATTATTCTAAAAGGACTCGTCCCAGAGTAAATAAAGTATTATTATTCAAAGAAAAGAAAAAAAAAATAATCAAACACTTTAAAACCTTCTCTGTGCATTTATGAAGTTACGAAACTTTACAGGCTCCTAGGGGAGAGTGCAAGTGGCCATTTGTAACCCACATTTTGTTAATAATCTTCTCGACTTTACACATTTACGAGGTTTACAATACTTAGCTCTGGTTGCATGAATACCCCTATGAATAAGTTTCTTGATCAAATTTGTCATGAAGTCATTTTATGGTTAATATTTGTCTGATAGGTGTGTTCGTAAAGTAACCTTACTTAGCTTCTATACTATACATTGAAAATCTATGTGATAACGATGTTGCCAGTGGTCAATAACAAATAGTCATATCTTAAAGATCATACAACCTCGTATCCATGCTCCATGAAAAACTGTACAACTACTGTTTGTTTTAATTTATTTTTATGTTTGTTTAGTAAAAGTAGATCAGAGCTTTGATATTTTAACTTTTTTACATTAGAAAAGAAGTTTTGTCAGGTCTCGATTCAAGAACGTAACTTGTATAAAACTTAAAAATCTCTTAGGAATAGCAGCGCTGTATGGTATCGTATAAATTCGAGGTTTCTTGGTAAATTATTATTAAAAAAATACCTACCTATAGTAGATATAGTGATAATAATTTTATAATTAATCTTGTTGAAATTAACACAACTTAATAATTTGAAATTAATAATTTTTTTTTTATTTTTTTATTCATACTTATTTTCCATTTATTTGTATCTTCTACATATATAATTCTTAATATTTAACTACATTGTCACCCACTATATCTCTGATACCATCTTTTATTTCTGTATCTGACAACTTCTTATTTTATATATACTTATATTTATTTTTTATTTTCTACTGGTTGTTTTAATTTATTTTTATGTTTGTTTAGTAAAATTAGATCAGAGCTTTGATATTTTTGATATATTGATATAAATTTGATATTGTAAAATTTATAAATTTTTGTACTAATTTTTAGAACAAGTATGAAAAAAGAAGTGGCAGTATCGAGTTCAATGTCCTCTTTAGGTGATCTACCTCCATTAACGAAACCCACGCCTCAAATTTCTTTGTCAGAATCTCATAAAAAAGTTACGGTCGAAGAAGGTAAAGGGGATATGCTCCTAGATGAAGGTATGAACTTTTATTTTATTTATGTAATTCAATTTGTTATTTATTTATAAAATAGGCTCTAAAATTTATAGAAACAAATTATGGTTGCATTTGTTGTTACTAAATTGTTTCAATCAATTGTTTTTAAAAAAAGTTTTTATGCACTAAATTGTTTATTCAATCCTGGTGATAACAAGGAAAATCCAACACAGAATTATATATAACAAATTACCCACAAACATTTTGATAATTCAAGCATTGTAAGGACTGAAAAAACAAAACAGGATCACATCTCTACATGGCATCCTAATACGTGCTTGTCTGTACAATATGGGTTTGGATGTCATGTAGTGACGTGATTTTTTTTTTTTGGCACTAACGTCTGAATTGGCAAAATGTTGATGGTTTATTTTGTTCTTTAACTGCATTTTAGATACATAAAGCTGTGTCAAATATTCCTAATTGTTACCTAACATCTATTTTCTGTCACATCTGCTGACAGAAAATTGATGGAATTAAATATGGTATGGAATATTTCTTGACTGGGATATAAAAGGATGATAATAATGAAAATATGGAATTATGCTTAGTTAAATGTTTGTATATAAAAACATTTTCCTCATTTTAATTAAGCAATTTTTTGAATTGATACGTTCCAAAAAAATGTAGCTACTGTGTCATTTGAATCCAACTGAATTATATTTCATATCGTAGTTGTGTCGGTAGTTAATGATGTATTTCTATTTTAAGGTTCTTCTAGTAATGATGACCTATTTCCTCTGCCAACTACCAAAAAGGATAAGGAATCAAAAAATGATATGAGTGAAGAGAGTGAAATTGAAGAAGATATATCAGAAGCCTCTGGGCCAACTGTAAGTGCTTTATTTGTGTATTATTATCTCATATTGTAATCACTTATAGTAGGGGCCCCCAACCTATAGTTTGCAGGCACAGTGGTGCCTACAAACAAAAGCGTGCCCGTCTATGCTGTCATAAACTTTATTAGTGATAACCCTTGCAAAAGTTTTACTAATGTTTGCTGCAGATGGATAAGATTTCAATAAAATATTGAATATGCCTTATAATAAATATTGTAGAATTAATTTTAAGTATGAATAATTATTTTAAAAATGGTAATTTATATAGCATAATGATTTGTTTTTTCAATCATTATTAACTGTGATAAGCTGCAGAGAAGTGAGTTTCAAATTCAAATGATTTACAATTTTTTTTTTTTAAATATTTTCATATTTCAAAATCTAACACGATGGATCTCGATTTAATTTTACTAATAAAATATTATATTTCCTAAATCATTCGATTAACTATATCAATCTTCTGCTTTGACTATGTATGATTAATGTGTCAAAGTAGTGTGGAAGGCTATCTGCTGAACAGGAGAGAGGAATAAAAGATAATGAATTGCTTTATAAAGTCAGATTTAAACATTTCGAAGACTTCAGAAACACAAACAGACGTGAAAAAGAAGAAACAGGGGTTTAACATGTTTCTGTATTCCCAAAGAAACAAGCATGGCATACCTTGGGAATCATATTTTCCCTAACCTATTGTAATTTAAAAAAAGAAGCAAATTGAAGCGACAGGAAATGAATGAAGTCATAAAATGTTTCTAAGAAGATGGTAGATGTAGAAAATTCATTTAAACCGTACCAGACTTTTAAATTGAAACAAACAGTTAACAAATGTGTAAAAGAGACACGCCAACACAAACCTTCTTTGATTTTTTCTTGGAAAACCGACAATATATGGTATGGATCGACCACAGAGTGACATAGAGACTAGTCTAGAGAAATACTCCATTTACACATTCATGTTTCCCATACTTATTGAAATGTGTAAATGTGGCTTAAGATTCATTGTTAAAATTCCTAGATGTTCTAACTAGCTGATATTTTCAGGGAGAGTGACTTTATTCTAATTTCCTATATTGCCTCTTTTGTTCCTTTATCTTCTTAAGAATAAAAAAAAAAGTATCTATACTCTTGATCTCCATTTAAGTTCCTCCAGATACCAGTGTGCCGTGAAAGATATATTTACCATATATCCATGCTGAATTTACTTTTCGTTACAAAAGGTTGTAGAATTATGGTAACAATGTTTTTTTAATATCGAAATATCTTGTATCCATTAAATAACATTAGTTTTCAGAAATTAAGAAATTACTCAAAATGTCTCCCTTTAGCACAGGGTGACAAATCTCCATGGTCAGTCATCAATAGCACCACGCATCACTTCTTGAGGAAAGTGTCAACTGCTCGGACCAGAGATTGTTTGGGGCTTTCAAATTAGGATGTGTACTGTGGCATGCTATTTTCTCCAGTTTTGGACCAAAGCCGATAATCTAATGGGTTAAGATCAGGGCTTCCTGAAGGGCCTATCTGAGGCAGTTCTTTCTGGAATGTTCTTTGGAGCCACTGCTGATTTGACTTGGAGCGGAATCCTGCTGGAAAACCTAATGATTTCCAGCTAATAGAATATCATTTAGAGACTTGACAACAGGTTCCAAAATATCGTCCTGCTAGTTTTTAGCGGCTGTTTTAACTCCTTTTTCATAAAAATGGAGCTTTGTGGTGCCATCAAAGCAAACTCCCCACCAAACCATCACTGAGGAAGGGTGATGACCTCTTGCCATTCTTCCAATGGCTTACACCACCGATTTCTTCTGAATCGAGCAGTAATTGCTCTCAATGCATTTGCCGTTCTCATAGTGCGGGGACGGCCCAGTCGAGGTCTGTCACATACAGATAGGGTCTGATTATATCTATTTATAGTGCGGTACATGAACATACGGCTGATACCCAAAGGTTTCAAAGTGTTGAAAATCTCTGATCTACATTTTCCAACTTTGTGTAAGGTGATCACAGCTGTTTGGTTTTCTTTACCAATCCAATCCATGTTAACTGAGTGAAAGAAAAATACAAAATAATTGGGATTGTTGTCTTGACATGTAAAGAAAATAAGCTGATAGAGAGAAGGATTATTTAAATAATATCCAAGGATGTAAACAAAGTTCAACTTTTACATGTAACAGTATTTATGGCAGAACTAGGTACTTAGCAAAACTATATGGATGAATTATGATTTATTAAAAATACAGCTTAAGGAAGATTTTGGGTTCATGTTGTTATACTGAGTGTTATATGTTGTTTTTTAATATCGAAACATCTAGCATCCATTAAATAATATTAGTTTTTCAGAAATTATGATTCATTAATTTGTCGATCTCCACTGCCTTCCATGATTTATTTATAACATATATTATTAAATAATAACATATTTTTTCTAAAACCCTCAGCTTTCCAACTATATACTATAGTGTATATTACAACTCCTGTTTCCAAACATCTGTTTTCATCCTGAAAAAATATGTTTCCATTTTTTCATCATTAATTAATTATCAAATTACTTCATAATGTATATTTATCCATTTTTACTAAATACTAGCTATGAGGTATGGTTAATTATTTCAAATAAACCAAATTAAAGGTACTTTATAGGGATAAATTTTGAAAGTTCATTAGTTTAGCTGTATCAATCTATTTCAATGAAGTTAATACCTATTTGATGTTAAACACTATTTAATTTTACATTGATGTAAATAGTTTAAACGAAATTGTTAAAGCTGTTTTCTGGACAATTGTAAATATTTATAAAATCAATGAAACAAATGCCACTTGCGTTGAGTAACTTTGAGTGAACAAATTGATATGACATTCGAGGTGTATACTTGTATACCGTAAGACTTTTTGTTTTTGAGCTATCTTAAATACGTAATTTCAGTTTCGTAAGACGTTTTGTTTTTGAGCTAGGTTGTTAGCATACACACACAGACCATTTTGAGAGACAGCTATTTATATTCAAGACATCTCAGAGCTATGTCTTGTATTTCCATTGAGATACATGTTTTAAGGTATTCTGAATATATTGTAAGTGAAAATAATAATATTGTTTTAGGAGGACGTTACAGCTGACTTATCAATTTCTAAAGGAAGTGGAAAAGCTGATTATTTAGAAGATTTGTAAAGTAGTCGCTATCTGTATGACCAGAAAATAAAGGAAATAATGTTATTTGCCAGTCTACCGCAACCTGTTGGGCTGTTTGAGTCTTTCTTCCTACTTATAAATTATAAACAGTAAATATAAAACTTGTACCTAGGAGCAATATGGCCATTGCTCATAACTTTGAAATTTGAATGGACTGTGTGAAATAAATCAAAGTAGAGTATACATTAACTGTTTAATGACTGATGCCCTCTCAATATTAATTTTGATACCAACTAATATTGGGAAGGCATTAGGCCTTTTCCAATCAGTGTATGCCGGATCATGAAGTTGTAAGTTTTAGACATGGGTCCATTTTTGTTCTAAGGTACAGAAATAACCTACTTTATTTTTATTTTATATCGTCAGTTTTTATACTATTTATTCTCAGTAATATTTAGAGCCAAAATACTAAAATAACTTTATATTATGTTTTTTTTTTTTAAAATCACAATCGTAAATTGTTATCGTATGTTAATCTTCATAGACCAAACTATAAAATATAAGAAGTATTACATGACATAAGCTTAATAATATTCAAAATGAGGAATAAGCATGTTTTGGCTCATGTAGAGAAAAATATATTTAATGTTTATACTATTTGTTCCACTGTAGATTATTTTTTTAAAAAATAGTATTTTTCTTTAACTTGCTCAATATTTATTTGTTATGAAAAGTTATATAATTTATATTTATATATATTTTGAAGTACAATATTTTAAGAAGCAGTAGAATAGTTTGTAAAAGGGGAGTGTATTGCTAAAAATCTTTTGCTGAGAGCAAGGATACATATTGCTATTAAATAGTCGCTTTTCTTAAATCAATACTTTTATTTATTTTCAATGATTCAAAAATAATTATAATCATTACCTCCTTTAAAAATTATAAATTTAAAATTTGTTCATATATTTCTCATTTATTAAAGTATTTACACTCTCCTTTGATCAATTCTACTTACATTTAAGTGGCCTTAAGGCGAGTTTACTTGATTCCATTATTTTCTTTAGAATTATATTTAAAAAAAAACAACAACTCCGTTTTGTGTATTAGCAGTATCAAATTATTTCTGGCCTGTTGATTGTTTTGAAAAGTTCTAATTTAACTTTTCACTAAAGAAATTTTGGCAAAAATTATCAATCATGTACTGATTATTTGCTATAATACAAAGCTTTAAATCACTTACTACCATGCCTTTCATACTGACATTTAAGATAGCTTGCAAAAATAAAATTTTGTTCTATTCTGAAAATTTTCCTTTTCATTATATCGTTCTATCATTTACGTTATGATCAATATTGTTTATATTAGGTTTTTTATTTTATTATTTGGTAATTTGGCTTGTGTGGGATGTAAAATAAAATTAATTATTCTACTAGGATAATTTGGCATTAGGACCTTAATTTTTGGGTTTATCGGTGAAACTAATTTCATATATAGAACATCGTGGTGTTTCAGCCTAATAGAAACAGATTCAATTGTATTAGTCAATATTTTTAGAATGTAAACGTCCGTAATATTTTTTCAGATTATCTAATGCTACACATGTGAGGAAAAACTGTAGTAATGCCAAAAACAGTACGTGCTCGATATAACTTTAAATAGACAAAGAAACCCTCGGTGGGTTTAGATTAGATTAAAATGTAACATTACGAAGAAGTTGTGTTATTTTTATGGTTATTTCTGACCAGCAGTTTCACTTCGATAAAAGAGACATATTATCATCAATACGAAATCATATTGATTAATGATCACCCAATTTTGGTTCGTTAAGTATAAATACGTTATTTTTATCAACATTTCTAAGATCTTTGATTTTCATTTGCAATTGAGAGTTATTTTAAAATTAATTTTGTTGTTTGAAGTATGTACTATAAAGAACAAGATTTAGTGCTTAAATTGTTTAACTTATTTGTTATACTCCGGATTTGGGCTGATTAAAGTCAACGGTTACCTAATTAAAATAATTATTCAATAGAAATTTACTATTTTGTCCACTTATTCACTGTGCTGTTGACTTCAGATGAAACAAGATATGGTCTGTACTATTAAATTAATTAATGAGTTTTCTGTATATATTTTCAAATCTTGAGTTAAATGTCCTCTTTTAAAAAGAAGTAATTCTGCCTCTTTTCTTTACTTTTTCTAGTATTTGTATCAATATAGGTTTAAAGCACTTAACTAAGATTGTGGTAATCTTTATTAGGATCATAGAATTCAGATTTTAGGGTATTTGAGTCATTCGAATGTTTGTAACGTATGATTAATATAATGATATTAATCATTATAGTTATAATTTCTCTAAAATTACCTCAGGAACTTGGAAATGTTTGCCTTTAGGTTAATTTAGATTGTCTGTTGTAAGTTTTGATGATTCTGCATCAGATTTGTATGTAAGTAACAGCTATATTAACTGCTAAACATGACTGTAGGGGCCATATTAAAAAAAAAAAAAAACTTAAATTAAGAAAATAAACATTTTTATAGAATCGATATTGTTATTATTCGTGCTTGTAGTTTATTGTTACAAAAAAAAAAAATATGTTTAGAAAATTTTTATCGCCAAGCATTGGTTATTTTTGTTACTAAGAGAAAATTATTCATAATGAATAATTGGTAGTAATATATTTTTTAAAAAACTTTTTCAAGTAATCAATGTTTTTTTAATCATCTTAATTCGTTATTCTGCGATAATACTTTATAGAATGAACAATAATCGTGGTAATACATAACACTTAACATGTACCATGCTTTTTTATCAAAGTTTGATTTAAATTCTGAAATTTTAGTTTATTCAAAATTTAAAAATATTTTTTAATGTTAATATTTATTTTTCTGCAGCTTTGTTTTTTTATGTTTAATGGAAAGCAGAATGCTAAGATGTAAACAATACAGTATGTTTGACATCTCTATTATTTGCATTTTGTCACATTTCAAAATATTGCTTAAGATATTTTTGTCCGTTAATGATATCAATTTTAGTTATATCCAATTCTTGTTATTCATTTACCGTGAAATTAAAAAGGATCTGATGATTAGATAACAGGATTTCATATGTTCCTATTAAATTTGTTTATTTACCATATTTTCAGATAGCACATTTGACAATAATAAATAGTTACAGAAGATCTTAATCATTTAACTGTAATCGGATTGAATGGTATTTAATTTATGTTAATCTCAAATCTGTGTTTTAATTAATATTACTAACTCATTCATTGGCTCTACAACTGATTTGTTTATAAATTTAATTACGTGTGTCCAATTTAACAGTTTTCATGTTTGTTTTAGCATTAATTGTTTAGTTTTTAATCATTATTATTATTTTTTAAATATTTAACTGTTCTGAATTAATTAAGTTTTTACTAATAATTTTAAAACTATCAGTCTAGTTATATTAATATTTTTTTAATTGAGTTATCCACCTTTTTA